TGATAACTCTATTTTGCGTGCAATGGGATCTATTTTTTCATTGTAAATAATATCTTCTTCTCTAAACACAACATACAAATGATTCGTTATATACAAATATTCACAATATATGCCATTTTTTTAATACTGGTAGCCTTACTAAATAATATTCATTACGATTCTTTATTCTACAATTGTTTTATTATAAAAGTATAAAAATTAATTTTTTTAAAAACATATTCTACCTGTAAAGTACGAACGCCAATTTATCCACGCCATCATCTGTCAAACCTGCGATCGCAAATTGATTTCTTAATAAATATCCTTCCTGTAGTTGCCATGTATATTCAACAGTACGTGTGACATCTTCAATTAATCTCAAAATTTGATCCCATTGTACTTCCATCAACTCTCTTCTCCATAATTTGAGGTTTTGTATGGGAGTAATATTAGTATAATCATGCTTATCAAATATCACAATTCCTATTCGGTACGTAGGTATTTCAGAAGTTATGATATAGTGTGTCGTCAAAGGCGATTTTGACATAGATGTAAAAGGAACAGAATTTGAATAAACATTGTAAGATTCAGGAACATTTACAACAATGAAAAATTCAGCTTTTAATCCGGGTTCGTCCCAACATGGAAAGAGTCGTCGCATTCCTATCGCTGAGTTATTTGTTACGATCAGCCATCTAACATATTCAATTACTTTTGTTAATTGTTTAAATAAGACAATTTTTTTAATTTTCAATAACATTTAAATTAATTTATTACAGGAACGGGGGAAAGAGCGAATATATTTTAATAGAAATATTTTTGCAACTTTTATGTTTTATTATTGCAAGACGTGACTTTCTTTTCTCCTATTTTTTTACAATTCAATATATTTATGTTATTATGCATAGATATACATACAGATTATAAATAAATGTTAAAAGATTCATATTAAAAATTCTATTTTATATACGCGGATAATATTTATAAAAAATTTATTTAATAAAACATCTTCAAGGAAGAAATGATATCACTTTATACGTTATTATTTTCATAACTTTTTGCAAAGTGTTCATTTTAGCTAACTATATATTTTGCAGCAAAACTAAAGCTTTTTCTAAAACTCTATAAATATTATAACATTAAGAGAGTTATAACATATTATTTTTCATATACTTAAAGAACTTTATTATAGACCGCCTATACCATTGTGAATCATTAATTTTCACTAGTTCAGAGACTCTTTTTAATTTTTATTAGATAATATTTATCAGTATTTAATAGATATAAATAATAGACTCATTTTAGACATTATTACATAATATTTTTAATGTGATGTGTACGTTTTCTTACTCACTTTTTTTCTCCTATCTTATTTATATATGTGACCTTGACAAAACCTCCATCATTAGCAATAACACCTTTATAAGTTATGCTCAAAGTATAATTACCAGGACGTAGAACTTCAGGGAAATCTAAGACGACAATTTGCTGTTCGTGTATATACGAAATATCACGTGCTTTACCCACTATTAAATAACTATCAGTCTTTCCTGTAAATATGACTTCAATTATTTCCAAATTTGCTGAGTGCAGGTTTATATTTTGTGTAGCCTTAAGAATCATAATCATAATACGACATTCTCCATAGAAGATATCCAGTCCTGTCTCTAATGTTACTTCAATATTGTATTTTTTTGGTTTTATAAAATCAGGCAAACGAGGATTGACAAGCCTATCACGTAAGGTTTTAGACGTTTGGTATATGAAAGAGTGTGTAGCGTTGGATGTAATTTCCTTAGTGTTTTTGATTACTTCTGATCTTCTAATTCTCGTTGTTTTTGGTCCGTTTATTTGCTTGTTATTTATTTTAAATTTGTCAAATACATTTTCTTTGTGTTGGTATAGAGCCATAACGTAATTTAGTAAACTTCCATATAATAACAATTTTATTAATTTGGTAATATTCATCTAAACAAATTTTTCATTTACAGAAATGTATTTTTTATAAGAAACAGAAATATAAAAATAAGAAAGTAAAATTATATCGTCGAAATTTGACTTTTGCAAAAACTATGATAAAACCATAGTTAAAGATTTTTTTTATTAATAGATTTATGATCACAACAGAAGAGTACAAAAATAACTAAAATAGCCACAGCTTGTTTTCGAAAGTAGATTCTTAAGTTCTAAATACCATATATTTGTCTATCTAAATCTGTGTATCTAATTTCAAGTAATTAAATTAAATCAATGTGTCGTTATTTTTAGAACTTGCAACCTATTGATTCTCTCAAATTCAGTACGCAAATTTTTAATATTGATTAATATTGATTAAAAGTTTTTTTTATTATCTACTACATCGAGAAAGAAATAGAATTGTTTACTAGTGTTATGAGAACATATTGTTTCATTATACTTTCATTATTATATCAAACATTATACCGATACATGTATAACGAAATGAAGTAAAACTTCTTATCTTGTCTTATCTTAAGGAAAACTTTTAGTGTTAATAATTTTAAAAAAGGGATTGCATATAAACTATACTTACGTTTTGAAGTGCTTCTAAATCTTTATAAAAATTATATTTGTATAACAAAATATATATAAATATTATACTATTGCTTCAATGATTTATGTATTAAAACTGTATAGGCTTAATGATATTTAAAATAATTTATAATAATTTATTGAAGTTACATTTACCGTTATAAGTGATAGAAAATAGTATATTCTCTGAATCTCACTG